AACCCATTAAAGCTAGCAGTGAGAAAACAATAACAAACAAAACCCATTAAAGAGAGATTCTCCAGGCCATGATCAGATTAAGAGTGATCACCAGCATGTTCGAGAAAGAGAAAGATGACAAAAACAAAGTTTTCAGCCCGTGATTTTGTGTTCGGTGTCCTTTTTTCAGTTTATGAGAAAAGAAGTTATAAAGGTCAAAAGTCGACTGACTGACAAATGAATCAAAGGTGGCACTTCCATATGCGTTATATTGAGGTATTTTATAAAAATGTTATTGACTGCATTATTTCCGAGGTATGATTGTGTGAAAGCTGTTGTGGGATTATGACAACATGATTTGCTCTCTCACTTTGGAGTCCTGATTGGCCTTTGCTCTCTCACAGGGTAATTGTATAATAATTATTTGGGATATCTTTTTATCCATTAATTGAGTGTAATTATCTTATAATTAGCTTGTTGCCAATCTTGTAGAGATAATTTATACTTTCCAAATTGAGATTAATAAAATCGTTTAATTTCAAAACTTTCAGGTTCCTTAATCCTTATAAGATGGTTACTATCAATTAATCATAGATCATGTACCCATCATGTTGCACTAAAAATTATAACTCCACACACAAACGTGGGTTAGGCCAGTTGGTTATGGCAGTGAGCCTGTCCCCTTACACCCAAGTTCAAATTCCCCTCTCCGTAAATTAGATTATCACTTGTATCTAAAAATAATAAAGAAATTGCAACTGCACACATGCAAATGAAGTCTAATGCATGGAAAGTTTATACAAAAAATTATGGTCCCTCTATTCTAAGGACCACCCTATCAGCCAACACCACCAGACGCACGCGCGCAAAGGGAGAAGAAGAAAAGCTCTAGGCTACTAATTTTATTGCAAAAACTGTTTCCTGCAATGGAAATCTGTATTCTTCTCCAACTAGAAACTCAGCTGCCAACTATACAGACAAAAAACCCTTCAGTTGGGAGCTCATTAGACATTACCCTACCGTCTCAATGAAGATCCTGAACTAGATTAGCATGAAGTTTATATTTGAAAATCAATGACACATCCACCAATCTTCTCTGCAGTTGCAATATCTGGAACAATTGAGTGACAATCTGAGCTCATGGACCCTGAGAGAATATCTTTGATATTCTCAAAAAATTCATGAGGCTGGTGTTTAGTATATTTCTGCTTGCCATTCTTCAATGGTTGTGACTCAACACCGGTTCGAGTAGCTGACCTTGCATTCCTGTTGTCACGACGAAGAGGCTGTGCATCTGCTCCACACAAATATTCTTGGTAAACTAATAAACTGATATGGATGACATAATTTACATAGACAGTTCATTTCGTGTTGCCAACCCAAATATCTGGAGGGAAAACCATGAATTGATAACACTCAGAATTACCTTTAGGTCTGGTTGCAGAATCGTTCCTTTCCAGACGTGATTTACTTCGCATAATGCATAACCATGTTCTTTCTGCCTCACAATCATGCTCTGATACAACTGGAATATGCCAGTGCCCTTCCTCTGATTCCTGAGAACATATTTCACCAGGTGCATCAATATTTCTGTTGTGCCACCTTTCAAAAGATAGGAATACAAACATGTACAGATGTAGAGTCTTATAATCAAGATTATATTAACTTGTTTTCACCTGAATTACAACAGAACATGGAGGAGGCATGTGAAACACTGGACCAGCATCAGAAAAACTGAAATGCACCTGCCATTAGAAAATGATAGATAACTAGTTAGAAAAATAGGATTGCAAATCATACAGAAACCAAGTATCATCGGTTGCAAAAAGAATATAACAAACTGGACCTATTAAATTTACATTTAGAACCAGCAGAGGCACTTAAAAATATTACTTGATGCCTTTCTTTCCATCTGGGGAAGAAATCATTTCCAAGAAGTTGAAATATATGGTCTCTCATCTCGTCATTTGTCACCAATAAACACTTGAACTTTATAGCTGCATACAACCAGTACCTGAAACACAGGTTAATACCATGGCACTTTAAATGCATATGTATTACCTAAACAATAACATGAAATTAGCTATTAAATCAGTAAAAAGTTCATGTAAAAATCATATACAAACTATGCAAGCATCATTATGTTCCAATATTATATTGCTCACCAATCATCATTTGAACCCGTAGGTGTTGCATAGAGAGCATCAGCATTTTGCCACTTCTCAATCAATGCCCTATTAACCCGTTCATCCATTTTTCCTCCACTGATACGCCTGTTATGAAGAACAATGAGTGGCCATCTCTTTGAAGGAAGCTTCTGGCGTATTCCATTAACAACAGCATTGACCTATTAATCCCACCATGAAAATTTATAGCAATCACTAATAAGAACATAAAGTTGATGTGTGTCATATGTGCTTAAGCATCATGCAACTTGCCTTGGATGGGATGAATTTCTTCTGGCTGAAAAGGCCTACATTAGCTCCATCCACCACTGCTTCAAAAGGTCCATAATAATCTAGCCATGTCTGCATAATAAAATTTTATTCTTTCCTAAGTCAATCCCAAATACAAGATTAAAATCAATAAACATCGTTGGGGACTTTCGTACTTGGAATTTCTGAAAGCTTGAATTTTTCTCTCTCTTTATAGCTATAGATGCAACGGATTCAGCAAAGTTTTCTGTTTCTACAGGATCAAGGTCAATTGTGGCCAATTTTTCCCCACAGCATTTGCACAAGCCATCAGCTCCAATAGTTGTACGCAACACAGACCATTTTCCTTTTCCCAACCAGCCCTGCCCATGCCAGCCCCCACCTCCATTCTCAATTGCCTCCCTTATCAATCTTGGATCCCATTTTATTTTTCCCACTCTTGCAGCTTCTTTGCTATGAAACCAGTTCATAATTAAATTGGCAATAGACGGTGAGACCCTCCTTACACTTGTTCTTAGTTTGTGCAGCATATAATACACCTTGTCACCTTTACCGACTCCCACGCTCACTCGTAAGAGGGCCTCTAGTTCAGGCTCTTCTGAATAGACACCGTGCTCCAACATGTGTTTCTCAACAGCAAATGCTTTATCAATATCTCCACTATGGCAAAAAGCAGATAATGCAGGACCATAGGAACGCAGTCTAGGATTTATTCCCAATGACTTCATTTGCTTCACCATATCAAATGCCATGTCTCCATCACCCATTGACATTGCCATTCTAGCCACAGATGTCAATGCTGCCTCATTCATTGGGACATTATCCAAACACATCTTCTCATAGATCTCAAATCCCCTTTGGAGGGCATACTTCTTCACTTCTTCACTGACACGAATTCCATTATCTTCTTGCTTAATGCTTCCATCTTTTAGATTTGAAGAATCATCTCCACCCTTTGTTGGGTAGTTCAGTCCATCTAAGAGGCGGGAATTTCGCTTCACAAAGCCATTAGAAAACCATGCCAAGTTCTCCTTTTCATCTGAAGTACCATCCAGATCATCAAACCCCATTTTTTCCCCATTACTTCCATTGGTATCAACCAGTTGCTCATTGTCCAAAGTTGATGTATTCAACCCCCTACCATCCCAATTCCCACTACCCAATTCCATGGAATTCACCCTGGTTTCGTCGCTGGCAGACGAATCCAAGGTATCCAAAGTTCGACTACCAGACCCACTCTTAGCGGGACGAACAACACCAACAGCTGCAGAAGAACAGAGATACAACAGTACAGTATAGTGGTACTGCTCCAACTTAATTCCTTCTCTTTGAGCCAAATCATAGAATTTAATTGCCCCCATGACATCCCCTCTCTTTGAGCACATATCCAATCCAACTCTCATCTTAACTTCTGGCGCATCAACGTCATATTTCTTAGACCCTTTCCCCCCTTTCTCTTCACCCGCCTGTTTATCATTACGTTTTCCTGAAGAGTTTACTTTATTCTCATCTTTGAGCCTCCTAGAAGAATGCTCATTGTCGTCCCTCCTTTTTCTAAAGCCAGGATTTTTCCTCGTATTTCTGTCTTTACTGAACCTATCTTCAGCCTTTTTCTCCTCCACTGAACCAACATGGTTCTTTACAGATTTTTTGCCAACCCTTTCTTCTGTGGACTTTAAGGAAGAAAACTCAGTACCAGTCCCTGGAGTCTTGGTTTTTAGATATGGTTCACGGTACGTGGTGGATAACTTTGCAACTATGTGGCTAATATTTTCTCTAACTACTGGAAGTGGATAAAGTTGAGGTGTGTGTTTAAGTTCAAGTGTTTGTTTGGGAGGCGAGAAAGTGAGAAAATGAGATGGACAATGGAATTTAAAAGAATTGAGAGCCGATGGGTACTTACAGAGGTTGATGGAGAGGAGGTGGTGCTTTTGCTGCAGTGAGTTGGAGGTAGAAGAGGCCATGTGTGGCCGTTGGAGGAGCGCTCTCTAATGGCGAGATATGGATTTAATACGAAAATAACTAGAGATGGTATAACTCGAAATTACAGAGTTGCCCTTAATAACAAGATTTTTAAGCACCAATTGCCAAAACTTATGGGTAAATTAGTAATTAGGAGAACAGCTTTTTTTGGTGAAAATTATATTGAAATTTAAATAAAATTCACCCAAAAAAACAAAAGGGTGTGAGGTTTGGAGTTTGAAATCCTCTTGATTTTGAACTTATTTGGTTTCCAATTGAGTTTCTTTATTAACTTTTTTTTTCAATACAAGAGATATTCACGAAGTGTGAATTCGAAAATACAAGAGATATTCATGAAGTGTGCATTCGAAAACCGGACCTTGGGTGCAGGGATAAGTCCTGAGTTATGAATACGATAAGGTGCTCAGGACCCCTTTTATCTTACTCTCAAAGATTGTGCCGATAGAAACTGATTGCGACAAGGGTTCTGTAAATACGCAATTTTGTTCAACAGCTTAAAAATGGAACTTCAACCTTACATTGTCTTAGTGTCAAGTATAACTTTGTCATTTGGCATGTAACTGATAGCAAATACTAGAAAGAAAGCAAAGTAAATACACAATATTGGGCACCTCTCGCAAATAATACCCAATCATGGTAACACAAAAGCATCCAGCCTCCTTGAAAAAAGGCATTCAAACAAAGGGATGAAAACAAACAGGCACAGGCACCCGGTAAACTGTTGAACATCTTATGCCACTTAAGTCATCATAAAAGATAATTATCAACTTGAGACCTACATTGCCATCAAACAGAATCTATGCGAGACACCTTCATATGGAGAGAGGCTGTCATAAAGGCATTGAAATCCCTGAAATATGAGAAAGGTAGAATTAGAGTTCATACTCGATATCTCATTCACTTAGGGTTAGCAAAACTTCCTTGTTTTTACTTACAATTAACTTGTTTGTTCCATGTAGGGTATAACAAATATGATTAGAACGAACTGATTGTCAATTCAGAGTTTAAGTTCTAAGAACAAAGAGAAGGCATGCCAGTTCCATATGAATTGTAATCGATTCTATGCTGAAAATCATGTCTCATTTGAATTTTTTTCTTTTTCTTTAGAAACTAATTGTAGGAGACGACTTGGAAGAATTTCTTCAACAAGATATATATATAGCTATTAAAAATTCCGTCCTGAATAAAACAATCATGGTTTGGTTATCTATCTCCTAAGACAAGCTCACTCAGAAGCTCATATGAAGGCAGCGAACAGAAATTCAACCCACACATAGTGCCAAATGCCATATATACATTAGATCACTAAAACTCAATCAAATAAAACTCAATCAAATAACTTAAAAGCAAATGCAGAGTTCAAGAATCCCATGTCGCCAAACATCCAAAACAAGAAAACGTTGAAATGTTTGTGACTTTATCACAGAGCAATTCTAATAGCAATACAGCATGAAACAATCAGAGTTGTTCACAGAGCCTAAAACCGCAGTCTAATAAGTACATTGCGGCTGTCAAAGAAACAAGCAGATGGAGTGCAATTTCATGTAAACAGCATATCATCGTATGCAAGCTGCATAAATTAAGCGCATGAAGCGTCAAATTAAAGTACAAATCTCACCTTGAGGAACTAAACCCCAGCTTTGAGACTCGATGGACAAGCTCGATATCAACCGTGCCGAAGCCACCGCGCTGTGTAATGGCATCATTGAGCCCACGCTGCCCAACTCCGACGGTAACCTAATAAAGATAAAATCTTTGTCAGATTCAAAAATTTCCTACTCATTCTCGGACGCCAAAAATACGTAATAAAAAGAGAATGAGAAATGAGAATGGAGGAACTGAAAACCTGGAAAGGCGAGAAATGCGTCGAGCAGGAGCGGAGGTCTGAGAGTGAAGGGTCGATTTGAGCTGAGAGAGTTCTGATGCAAGAGACGTCTTGTTGAGATTGCATGTGAAGGGTTGTAATCGGGACGATAACCTAGAGACAACCTTATAGGACGCCATTGGAGAAGCTTCGAGCTTTGTAGCTACCGCTGCTAAGCTTTGTGGTTTGGGGGTTTTGCTCGTACTGCCACTGTCATTGTAGTGTGTGTGACGAGGGAAAGGTTTATGCGCAAAAGGAAACGACGTCGGTTTTGATTTATTTGTTTAGGGTGGTTTCTTATTATCCGTTTCCCCATGGGTCGACCCGCTTCTGACTCATAGACTTGGACCAACCTTAAAATCCCATTTTATTAGGTCGGCTTGACCCAAAGAGTTGGCCCATGGAACATTAAATTAAAATAAATTCTTGTAAATTGAATAAACTTTTGAGAAAATCTTCCTGAGAAAGAAGTCGTCTTGGTATTGGATCCGCTCTTCTGTTAGCATGAACATGAATTAGATTCTATTCGTCTTCTTTATTCTTAAGGGAACCCCCCACCAGAACCATTCTTAAGACCACCAAGCCCTCTCGAATGAGTTCTACTATAGAAGCTTTCAACGTACACCCAGGGACAAACCTTTCACTCACTGAGAAGTGAAACCCTGTGACTAGATCGTCGACGGATGCGACGGGAAGAAATGGCATTCATCAAAAACATGATTTGAAAAACTAATGATTATGTGGAATAAGATCTCCTTTTTTTTAATTTATATTTGATCTTGTGCTTCTGTTCTGTCAAAAAGGACATCATTTAGGAATTGTGAGTTTTGAGTTTAGCATTCTTGGGCTCTATGATTCAAATCAAAACCAATTAGTTAATTATTTAAATTTAAATTTTTCCGTATTTTTTACAAAATTTTCAGTAACACATATGTAGGTATGTATTTTTCAACCATACATTCGTGTTCTATACATGTCTCACATTTTCTTTAAAAAGCAAACATACAATAGTCGTATTGTATATGTACATACGTATTTCTGATATTTTATACATATATGTTTTACAAAAAAATTTCAGTAACACACACAAATTCATGTATTATATAAATAATTCTCACATATTATTGAATAAGAATAACATATGGTATAAAAATTATATTAAAATATCAAATAGTGGAAGATTAATATTACGTTGGATATGTTGCAAATTAATATCCATAAGGTACAAACCAATGCAACTAGGAAGGTTCTTTTTTATAATTAATTTTTTTAATTAAATATTATAGCCGTTCGGCTATACCACGATTTTTTATAAAATATAGTATAGCCGGGCGGCTATACCTATTTTTACACGTGACTTTAAACGATAGAGGTTCTTCTTTTTTTTTCTTTTTTTTTAAAGGAGTACAGTCGCACCTCTATAATTAATTTTTTTTTTAAGACGTGTTGACACGTGGCGCCTAATAGCTGGAGTCTTTTTTATATTAAAAAATAGTATAGCCGCCGGCTATACTGAGTTTTTTTTAAATAAAAAAATAAAAAACATTAGTAAAGGCATAAGTCGTTTTCGTCTATTTTTTTATTATTTGAATTTAATAAATAGTATAGACGAGCGGCTGTAGTCTTTTTCATATGTATTCACATATATATATATATATGTATATATATATACACATATGTAGGTACCTATTTTTCAACTATACATTCGTGTTCTATACACGTCTCATGTTTTCTTTAAAAAGCAAACATACAATAGTCGTATTGTACATGTACATACGTATTTCTAATGTTTAATACACATGTTTTACAAAATTTTTAGTAACACACAAAAATTCATGTATTATACAAATAATTGTCACATATTATTGAATAAGAATAACATATGGTATAAAAATTATATTAAAATATCAAATAGTAGAAGATTAATATCTACTTTGGATATGTTGCAAATTAATATCCATAAGGTACAAACCAATGCAATTAGGAAGTCCTTTTTTATTATTAATTTTTTTAATTAAATAGTATAGCCGTGCGGCTATACTACGATTAAAAAAAATACAAATTTATAAATAAACCCAATCCTAGACATGTATTTATAAAAAAACCCAAGCACTATTTAAACATAGAAACACACCCAAAATCAACCCCAAAGTCAACTTTTTGGGTGTGTTTATAAATGGGTTTTGAGTGTGTGTAATGATGGGTTTTGGGTGTGTTTATAAAGTGTTTTGGGTGTTGGGTTTTTTTATAATTTCAACCTCCATTTTGGGTGTTTTAGTGAAACTCCCTAAAAAAAACGCATAGGCGGCGGCTTTCCCTATTTTCGACACGTGGCTTTGTACGATAGAGACTCTCCCCTTTTTTTTTTTCTAAAGGAGTACAGCCGCACGGCTATAATGAATTTTTTAAAAAAACATGTGTTGACACGCAGCGCCTAAATATTTTTAAAATAGTATAGCCATTCGGCTATACGCAGTTTTGAATTGTTTTTTACAAAGACGTGTTGCCACGTGGGGCATAATGGCTGGGGTCTTTTTTTATATTTAAACATCGTATAGCCGCTCGGCTATACACAGCTTAGAAATTTTTTTAAGAAATACGTGTGTTGACACGTGGACCTAATGGTTGAGGACTATTCGTATAGCCGCACGGCTATACTCAGTTTTGAAATTTTTTAAAAAAAGACGTGTTGACACAAATGAAATTTAGAGATGTTAATATCAATGTGACTTTTTATATATTAATGTGTTTTAATTTTTTGATAAATACAAATTAAATTTAGAGATGTGAGACTTTAACACATAAAAGGTTAACATTATTAACTTCTTTGAGGTCCATTTGGATGGAGTAATTTTAAAATTTAGTGATTTAAATTATATAAAGGTCAAATTGTTTGTATAGATTACTACAATTCATATATGTCAATATTTGAAAATGTTATACAAAGCGTTAACATGTGTGTATTTTAAATCGATTCCAATGTACTATATGTAGCGATTTCAAATACATTCAATATAAAGTTTGTTTTTTTTATAGCAAATGTCGCTTTGTTGTCAAATTCAAATCTTTCATTTAAAAGACATTCAAATTTTTTTTTTTAAAATACAAACTATATTGAGAGAGAGGGAATTGAAACTTAAGACATCAGCTGTAGATATGTAAATACTCTTAATCATTTGAGCTACAAACCCCTTGTCACGTACATGCATTTAAATGAAAGGAGATATTATATGTGATATGAACCTCATAGAAATTATTGCATTTAAAGCTAATTAAAGTAGGTGCAGTGTTGTATAGCTCAATTGATTAAGCTATTCCATCTCCACCCATGTGGATAGAGCCTAGAGATTCAAAATTCCCAGACGCTCAATGAATATTTGTGTAAACTCCTTAAATCGCTTGTACTTAAAAAAATATACTAATCATGGTTTGTGTCAATAGGAAGTTTTACCAATGTCTGCCATACTGTTATTAGGATGACTATGTTTATAACGTGTCAGTTATACTATTTATTTATTTATATATATATTATCAATACTAATTTATTTATATTGATGTAATAAAATTCTATGGTCTTTTTATAAATAAAAAATACTAATTAAATTAGGTGAGCAAAAACAACTCTTTATATAACCAAAAAAAATGTAAATTAAAAAGAAAATATGGTTGTTGGGCAAAGGTTGTTAAAAAACAAAAAGAAAGTAGGTGAGCAAAGCAAAAGGTGAACAAAGCGCTACAACGTGGAAGAATTGACTTGAATTCCAAAAGCCAGCTAATCAAATCAGAGACGTCCGTCCTTTTCATCAGCAGCGGATCATTTCCTCCTCTTTTAACTAAAATTACCGCGTGGATCACGAAAATTGTTGGTAACGGTAAGACTGCCTTGCAAGTTGCCACTAGTCACACTGAAGCCAAATTTCTCCACATCGCATTGCAGCGCCGAGCATTATTATCAATCAATCAATCAACAAACATATAAAAAGACCCACCCATACACTGCGATCTCCTCATCGTCTTCATCATTATCAGCTCTCTTACTGTGTTTTCCTTGTCTTCTTCACGAAACCCTAAGAACTCTGGTTCGTGAATCCATGGCGAAGGTCAAGGTCACCTTGGAGGTCGGGAACGACGGCGTTGCTGTGATCACCATATTCAATCCCCCTGTCAACGCCTTGGCCATACCGAGTAATCAAGCTAGCTCTGCACCATATTTATCAAAAGTTGACGATTCATCTGGTTTTGATTTTCTTTTTTTTCGGATTGTTTTTCCGTGATGCTGCAGTTATAGCGGGGTTGAAGGAGAAGTTCGACGAAGTCGCGAGAAGAAATGATGTCAGGGCTATCGTTTTGACTGGTAATTAAGCTTTGATTCGTACATTTTCGTTGAATTGTGCGGCAGTGCCGTTTTGTTTTGGTGATTTGGTGCTGTTCGATCCAATTCTGCCAATTGGTTATGCATTAACTGTTTTTTCTTTTATGTGATTCTGTTTTGTTTTTTTGTTAAAGAATCTAAGAGTGTTTGAATTTTTGTTTTGCTTCTTCTTTGTGGATGTTTTACAGCTCAATTATATATTCTAATTGATTTTTTTTTCTTCCTGAATGAAGGCAATGGAGGAAGGTTTTCTGGTGGATTTGATATCAATGTTTTCGAGAAGGTTCATAAGTCTGGTATGATTGAATGAACTATACTGTTCTCGCTATTTTAGCTTGAAGTAAAATGACGGATTGAGAACTCAATATCATATTTCGCGGTGTGGCAGGGGATGTTTCACTTATGCCCGATGTCTCTGTTGAATTTGTGGTTAACAAGCTTGAAGGTACTTACCAACATTACCTAAGGATACGGCTACTGGGCTCCATATTGAATACACTAATTAACAATTTCATTAATACTGTTTGTCTGTAAAATAGATTCAAAAAAACCTGTTGTTGCTGCTGTGGAAGGACTTGCACTTGGAGGTGGCTTGGAGTTGGCAATGGTTTGTGCTCCCATTGCCAAGCATACGCTTTTTAGATTTTCGTTGTTCTTAACTTTTGGTGGATAAAGTTGTTATCAGAATCTTTGTGCAATTACGTATTATTAGCAAATCTCATGCAGGGGTGCCATGCACGAATTGCTGCTCCAAGAACTCAACTTGGCCTGCCAGAGTTGACACTTGGAGTATTTCCAGGATTTGGAGGTGTAACTTTTATTCTACACTGACAATACATTGCAGACCTTTTTTATTTATTTATTTTTAAATTTAATGTTTCACTGAAATGTGAAA